TGAACGCTTTAACCAGTCATATGCTATTAACCCGTCTTGCGACGGAAATGGGTACGAACCCCCGACGGGGCACTGTTTGGTATGCCTCTCTTCGAGCCGCATGTCACTTGACCAGGTTAGTGTTATGGTGAGCCAACACATGTTCAGCTACGCTTTTCGCTATTCAGGGGATTTTTGTACGCTTACAGTTTTTTCCCTCTTCCCGAGACTTCGGTATTTGGGAGTCTGTGTTAATCAGCTTTGTGGGATGGTGGTCTACACTTACCCTCCTCACGCCGAGAGTGTTTGGTGGGAGTGTTTTATCCTGTTTTTCACTCGTACAATGCATGGCGTTTGTACTCGTTCGATTTCCTCAGAAAGTTTTCAGCGAGGCTAATAATTTCTCTGGGTTTTATCGAGGTCCCGGCAAGCCCTCTTCCAAACAGGAAGGGTGCATTCGAGCATTAGTTTGCAGTACTTATTAGCTCGACTCCTGGGTTATTGGCTTTTTAGCGTTTAAATTTTTTACGCTTTCCCTACCCTTATACCTCTTGCCACGCTTCTCTGACTGGGGCTATATTAGGGTTGGGAGTTGTTTCTGCATGTCCCCATACATTCCTTTCCATTGTAATGGTTGGGGGTGGGGTTTTATGTCATAATTGATTTGAGCCAATTGACGTATAAGCTTGGGCTCTCTAGTTCACGCCCCCGTCTGATTGGTATCAGCAGTCAGGTGGCTCCGTAAGTGTTTTTTCTATTTCCGTATCGGTTGTAGATTTCACTCCATCACGGGTTTAGTTGTTGCCAGACAGAATGCAACTCCCGTCTCAAATATCTTTGGGAGTCTGTCATATGCTTATATGTACCCCAAGGAGGACTTCTTCTGAAAAAGAATTATACAAACCTGTAGAGGTTATGAATTCTTTGAAGAAAGTCCCTCTTGGGGTACGGCCACCCGCCTCCCCTCATTCTGTCTGACACGTTCAGCATGAAAAGTGAGGTATGAGGTAGACGGCGAGAGTTACCTGCTCTTGGCTGTAGGGGGGTCCGGATGGGGCCCTGTAGGGGTGGTCTCACAAGACAAAAACGAGGGGTATTTTTGTAAATATTTTATTAAAAAATATAGTTACAACTATAGTAGGATTTAAAATGGACATTTGAATGCTTATATGTACCCCAAGGAGGACTTTCTTCAAAGAATTCATAACCTCGGGTTTGTATAAATCTGGCTGCTGTGGGCATGTGTGTCCACACTAAAGGAAATTCAGGCCTAATTTTTCATCTGAGGTTCTAATTGAAGGGTTCACCAAGTTCACTTTCTGTTTTGGGAATGATCATGATGCAAGACTCAAAGTAAAATAGTTTCAGTTGCATTCAGTTGCATTTACCAGTTCAAGGTATATTGTTTCCAATCTATTTGTTTCAGTGTCTTTTGCCTTTATAATGAATAGCATTTTTCGAAGACAGTAACTGGACTGATATGTTGTGCATGGACTAATGCATGTACTTTGACATGAATATAAAATGCCATATATTTCCGTAGATAAGCCGACCCCCTAATTTGACCCTTAAAATAAGTATCAAAATGGTATGTTTCGTTCATAAGCTGAACCCCCATGATGGGGTCCTAATCGCGGCCAATACAGACTACAAGACAACTGGCAGTTTATGATTATTATAACTTCGGTCCGCATTATTCACAGCAATCACGATCATATTGCATCTACTCACGACTCGAAATGAAGTGTAGCTGACAGAAAATAGATATGTACATGTTTCGCTAAATGTTGTATTTATTGTAGCTGGACGATCACGTCAACAAACTGGCATGCTTATTTCACCTCAACTTCCGTACAACTTCCACTTACCATGCTCGTGATTATGCACATTTTACATTTATAGAGCAAAACCTGTGATTGAAATTACACAATGCAAGGATATATTTCTCTTGGTAAAATAATAGTTTTAGATATATTTTACCGACCACTGCATCAGAATTCATCCCATTATGTTATTGGGTATGTTTTAACTAAACCACTGGGAAACGTGTGCACAGCTGATTGCGATTTCCGGCTCTATACACTATATATATTGTTCATTCATGCAAATTGATACAATGTCGTTTTCTTACTTAGGGCTCGATTTAAGCATTTAGAACTTGCATTGGTGCAACCTGAAACTGCTAAATGCAACCTTTTATGTATATCAACTTGCACCCAGTGCATGCTAATATTTTGTGTTCAAAGAACACAGACTTCAGCTGGAAAACAGAATGATGAGGAACTGACTTAGAACAGTGACTCTGATTATTGTAGGAACAGTCACTGAAGGACTTGCTGTTCATGAAAGTTTAGGAAGTAAGATAACTACAGATTTCTTTTGTTATAATACTGTTCTAAAGCGTCTTTACCAAACCTCAAGCATTATATAAAATTTTATATTAAGCAGCAGGAGCAACTTGTTTATGTTGGTGCAAAAGGTGATTGCCTTAGGTTGCACTGGGTGCAAGTAGGCTTCATTTCCTTAAAGCGACCCCTGTTACTGGTCACCAGAAGAAAAGTTTGATGAAAGTGTTACCCGTAGAAAAGCCGACCCCATTCTACAGGTTGCTTTTTTTAAATTTTGCTTATCTATGGTAATATATGGTAAAATTATGAAATGAGGAACAATTCATAAATTCAGTAACTTTGACCTTTAACTTCCACCCATTTAACCCCAAATACAGCTGTGTAGTGGTATGTGAGCACAAGGACTTCCCATGCTTTCCCACCTTACCATGCTTGTGGGTTTCACCAAAGTGGTAATCATCTGAGACCTGCATCACTTCAGGCTTTCCTCTCATTACACTGACACTGCATGATAAAATAGAATACTGATCAAAGCAGCAGTAAATCCAACTAACTCACTCCTTCACTTTGATGTTTTTCCCCAAAGCAAAGTCAGCAACGTTGCTGCTAGCACAATACATGCCAATTAGCATGTCATTAATTCAGTACTGGAGTTCGAAGATTTGTCTGGTTATTACAAGTGTTCATTGTATATTTGGGTGTATATTTTTGTTCTATCTCATATCAACTCATTATATATGGCTCACTCGATTAGTTTACAAATATTGACTACATAGAAACAACTCATGTTTGTAGCCATCTTGATGAATATTCCTGTTTAAAATGTGTTTTATGCAACTAAAAAAACAAAATATTTAGAATATATTTTTCATTTAAACATGAAACTTTTAGAAATGACTGGCTGTCATGGCTTACTCTTTCCATTCATTGATTTGGTAATCAGGCAGCTGCCACTTTGATGGGAGGATCAGCATCCTTCACTGACTGCTTCCTCCAAGAGAAATGGTTTTCTTTCATATTTTGGTTGCTTTAATCACAATAGACAAGTGTTTGCCACAAACATGGCAATGTCCCTGCTGCTAAAGAAGAATGAAATACAGCATATTTACTAGTTTTTATCTTTTGGTCACATAGAAGATTACCTTTTGTGTGATGTAGTTATCATATTAACAAGATTTTGAAAAGTGTCATGTGACCTTGAAAATAATGTCAAGGTCACCCTGAAATGACTAGTGTCTTTGTAATCACGCAATGTAGGCTGTCGACATAATTGAAGACATTGGGTTTTATGAGTTGGAAAAGTGGTCAAAGTGTCGTGGTGACCCTGAAAATAAGGACACTGTCACCCAAATCGACTGGTATCTGTGTAATCCGCCAATGTAGACTGTAACCAAAATTGAAGACATTGAGTATAACAGTTCATGAGATGTCGCGTTAACCAGAATCAGGACAAACGTATGGATGCTACTGAATACATAGTCCTCCATTCCACGTTGCGGCAGGGGACTAGGGCTGGCAAATAAATTGTATTGCAATATATTGCAATTCTGGTACCTGTACTCCAATATGTATTGATAGATCAGGAGCTTGTACATGCAGAGCCTATTTTTTAAATACGAAAGTCCTAAAAATAAATGTTATGGATGTGCTAACAGAAACCCCGAATTGAGATTTGTTTTTCAGAGGATGTATTTTCTTTTTTATACAATTTATTGTATGTAAAATATGGTTTTTTTGTCAGTTAATTACAATGAAAAACTTCTTATGTTTTTATTACCCAATATAACGGTTCTGAAAAAAACTATTGCAATATATATCTTTTGAAAGGCGTGTTCGATACACCGGTGTAGCGGTTATACCGTGCAGTTCGACTGCAGAGAATGATTTTTAAGTTTGTATGTAAGCACAAAAAATCAAATTCGATTACACTAAGAAATCCAGACAAGCGCACTGACCTGTGCTGAGAGTAAGGTACTTTGTGACCCTTTCTTTGAAAATTACCCCATTTTTTTTTAATTGTGGTTGAGAAGGGCTGTTATTTTCTGTAAACTTGAAGGAACATTTCCATATGTATGACTAACAATTACAATAATGTTTAGAGATTCATTGATTTTCAATTCTTTATACAAGCATTTTGTAGGACAGTAAGCAAGCACACACTGCATTAGCATGCTGCAATTGCCAAACCAATTTAGTTGTTAACAGTAATAACACACATTACTGTAATGATTTCTGGGTCTGGAAATGATGGTGAGGGCCTTCTTCTTCCTGTTCAAGTTCTTAAACACTCTTTAATTTTATTTAAAGTTTTTCATCTGTCTTTTGTGTGTATGAGACAACTTAGAACTTAAAAGGTAAATAATCTTGTCTAGTGATGTTTAATTGCAAATTTGACGTCTCTACTGACAAAGTCGTCTTCTGTTGTTTGTTCACGCGAAGTGATACGATGTTGTTTTCTTACCCCTGGAAAAAAGTTTGACAAAAGCGTAACCCATGGATAAGACGACCCCCTTCTACAGACTGCTTTTTTTTGGTCCTCAAAATTCGGCTTATAGACGGTAATATACGGTAAATGAAAACATAACTGTGGAAACAATAATGCCCAGATCACTTGTGTGAACCTAATGTCTGTACACCATTACTATCTCAAACTGATTTCCTTTGTATTTCTAGAGCGGACCCTGCTTATGGATGTCGCATATCTCGTTTAACAAGCTGTGATCTGATTCCACCAAGTTCAGACCCCGGAGATTTTAATCCTGGCAGGAATCTTACTGAAGGTAACTGTTTACTGAATTCAAGTTAAGCACACACAGCAGTCTCCAAACTTCTCAACAACATACCATGATACGCCCTCTTTACTTCCACCAACATGCCAACATATGCTCTTTACTTCCACCAACATGCCAACATATGCTCTTTACCTCCACCAACATGTCACCCTTGAAGGTCCGGGTTAGAATATTGGCCTTCAGTAACCCATGCTTAAGAGGCGACTAACGGGATCAGGTGGTCAGGCTCGCTGACTTGGTTGACACATGTCATCGGTTCCCAATTGCGCAGATCGATGCTCATGCTGTTGATCACTGGATTGTCTGGTCCAGACTCGATTGTTTACAGACTGCCACCATATAGCTTGAATATTCCTGAGTGCGGCTTAAAACTAAACTCACTCACTCACTCCATCAACATGTCACCACACGCTCTTTACCTTCATCAACATGCCACCACATGCCCTCTTTACCTCCACCAACATGTCACCACATGCCCTCTTTACCTCCACCAACATGTCACCACATGCCCTCTTTACCTCCACCAACATGTCACCACATGCCCTCTTTACCTCCACCAACATGTCACCACATGCCCTCTTTACCTCCACCAACATGTCACCACATGCCCTCTTTACCTCCACCAACATGCCATCATATGCCCTCTTTACCTCCACCAACATGTCACCACATGCCCTCTTTACCTCCACCAACATGTCACCACATGCCCTCTTTACCTCCACCAACATGTCACCACATGCCCTCTTTACCTCCACCAACATGCACCACATGCCCTCTTTACCTCCACCAACATGTCACCACATGCCCTCTTTACCAACATGTCACCACCAACCAACATGTCACCACATGCCCTCTTTACCTCCACCAACATGTCACCACATGCCCTCTTTACCTCCACCAACATGTCACCACATGCCCTCTTTATGCCACCACATGCCCTCTTTACCTCCACCAACATGCCACCACATGCCCTCTTTACCTCCACCAACATGTCACCACATGCCCTCTTTACCTCCACCACCACATGTCACCACATGCCCTCTTTACCCACCATGTCACCACCAACATGTCACCACATGCCCTCTTTACCTCCACCAACATGTCACCACATGCCCTCTTTACCTCCACCAACATGTCACCACATGCACCATGCCACATGCCACCACATGCCCTTTTTACCTCCAACATACCACCACCACATGTCACCACAACATGTCACCCTCTTTACCTCCATCCACCAACCATGTCACCACATGCCCTCTTTACCTCCACCAACATGCCATCACATGCCCTCTTTACCTCCACCAACATGCCCTTTCACCACATGCCCCTCTTTTACCTCCACCAACATGCCCTCTTTTACCCACCAACGGCCACCCACCAACATGTCACCACATGCCCTCTTTACCTCCAACCAACATGCCTCTTTATCATCCACATGCCCTCTTTACCTCCACAACAACATGTCACCATATGCCCTCTTTACCTCCACCAACATGTCACCACATGCCCTCTTTACTCACCAACATGTCACCATCGCCCCTCTTTACCTCTTTACCTTCTCCCACCAACATGTCACCATGTCACCACCCTCTTTACCTCCACCAACATGTCACCACATGCCCTCTTTACCTTCACCAACATGTCACCACATGCCCACTCTTTTACCTCCACCAACATGTCACCACATGCCCTCTTTACCTCCACCAACATGTCACCACATGCCCTCTTTACCTCCACCAACATGTCACCACATGCCCTCTTTACCTCCACCAACATGTCACCACATGCCCCTCTTTACCTCCACCAACATGTCATCAACATGTCACCACCTCTTTTTACCTCCACCAACATGTCACCACATTACTCCACCAACATGTCACCACATGCCCTCTTTACCTCCACCAACATGCCATCATATGACATCCATGCCATCATCCATATGACCTCTTTACCTCCACCAACATGTCACCACATGCCCTCTTTACTCCTCCACCTCCACCAACATGTCATCATATGACCTCTTTACCTCCACCAACATGTCACCACACGCTCTTTACCTCCACCAACATGTCACCACATGCCCTCTTTACCTCCACCAACATGTCACCATATGCCCTCTTTACCTCCACCAACATGTCATCATATGCCCTCTTTACCTCCACCAACATGTCACCACATGCCCTCTTTACCTCCACCAACATGTCACCACCAACATGTCACCACACGCTCTTTACCTCCACCAACATGTCACCACATGCCCTCTTTACCTCCACCAACATGTCACCACATGCCCTCTTTACCTCCACCAACATGCTAACATACACCCTTGTTACCTCAAACATATCATCATACACCCTCAGCATATTGCAATCATTGGTTATACAGATGTTTTGCCATATTGACTATTAACAGTAACACATCAAATTACCCATAACTGAAAGTTCTCTTTGCATGTTGACTTAATAGTTTATTGTGGTCATTTTTAAAAAGGTATGATGGTTATTAAGTCAATTAAGTTTGTTGACTGATTGCTCCAATAGATCTGATTCTCAACATTCAGCATACTTGCTTAAACAAAGCATTGTATCAGGTTTTGTTATCAAGGTTAACACATTTAAAGTAGGTGGTCCATGTCAACTCAAAAAAACTCTTGTTGATGTGTATTTACAGTTTGAAATATACCATTCAAAAAAAGTAGGGGATATTAGATTTACAAGATTGATAAAATGCAAATGATGAAGCCAAGGAGGAAACAGATGATGAAGAGAAATAAGGAAAAATGTGCCCATTTATTCCATTCCTTTGAAATGTTTCATCTGTATGGATATATATATTACTTTTTCTCATATGCATTGGCATTGGCTAGTAGTATGCTCGCAAAATGGAATATCCCCTACTTTTTTTATTTGTATATAACTGTGTGAGATATTTGAATAGTCTTGTTGGCTGCTGCAGGATGTCAGCATCTTATCACATAATGCATCACAATGCTTCAGACACAGTAGGAACAATATCACACTGGATATGTCATTGTCTAGAGATCCACATTGTCTCTAACCTTCATCCTGTATCTATGGCACCCACACCACCTAGCCAACTCCTTGCTAGTATTTTTTTCTTGTCTTTTTTTTTGTGTGAGTTTTTTGTGCGTACTCTGCATCTCACGCTATAACACCTGAAGGTCAGCTGCTTGCTGTAAGTCTTTGGTGGCTGGTGGTGGTGGCTGGCTGCAGAGACAGGTTACTGTTTCAACATATCACCCTGGGCTTATGGGTAGGCCGCTGCTTTATGAGTACTGGGCTCTTCCCAAAAACATTTGCCACAGTTGCGGATGGTAGATTTCTGCCAGAGAGATCAATGAAGGCAGTAATTTGGGGCTCACTACCACTACCAGCACCACCAGGGCAAGTTAGAGGTGAGGACAGCTACCTGGAGGCACTGATAGCTGAAGCAAGTCTCAGCACTGCAGGAGCAGTATGTTATGTTAATTAGACACTTTACTGTCTGGCCATGACAGTTAGTCAGGCAGGTCCAGCTGTATCAGTACAGGGGTTCTTCACATTTGTTATCCACCTTTTCAAAATATTTTAGAGATATTTAGTGTTTGCAATATTAAATCTATAAAGAAATGTTCTTTTGTGCTATCTAATCATTAGATTAGATGATTCCAGCTATTGGCTGTATACTTCAGTCAAAATGTGTGTGCTGAACTGTGGTTATACAAGACTTTCTTGTAAAATTACTGGTGCCTTAGAGTTTATTATGACCATAACTTACTGTAGTTGACATCAAACTTAGTGAAACAGATGTTATATCATGGTGTTATGTTCATTTTGAGCATGAATTTATTCCTGCAATCTGCCTTATGTATGCTTGTGTTTTGACTGGCATTTGACTTGACATAATGTCACATGGTCGGGTTGAAACAATAGCCATTGCTACACAAGCTTGTGGTGTGGTAAAGGGGCAGGATTCCATATTGTTTTCTCAGCTGGCTTGTTGCAAGCCCTTGCCATTTGAACCACTGTCCCCAAGCAGTTTCAAAGTGTTGTTTTCCACATTGTGGATACATTTAGCAGTTCCTGATGAGGGTCCATGGCCTTTTGCTGTGTCCTCGGTGAAACCAGCCTCCCCACCTTGGCTTCACCTTTTGCCTTTTCAAAATGCATACAAGATGTCGACTAGCTACAATAAAACATTCCATACTGTTTTATTTCTCCAGTAAGAGTTTATTTTTGACTTCTCTAAACTTGTGAGAATAAATGGTCATATTTTCTTTTCCCTTTTTATGTTAAATATGTGTTTTCCTTTCATTTTTTTCTATCCTTATTTCAACACTGTTCCTCTGACAGAATAGACCCCTCTCTTTCAGAAAAGACCACATGCTTGTTATATCAAAGTGGTTACCTGGGTATTAGATGACCTTCATGAGCAGCTGACTGTGGATGTTATTTTTAAGTGTGAGAAACGTTTCTTTTGTGAATAAATTCAGGCATTTACATTATTAGTCTTCTCTGTGTCTGATCCAAACAGACTCTGATATATTTGAAATATTACAGACATAAATCGTCTTTCATCAAAATCATATTTGCTAAGATATTTTTTTTACCACTTGGTATATAATAAATTTTAGCAGAGATTTATAAGACTGAAATAAATTTGATAAAGTGTTAAAAAGCTTCAGACTGTATAATGGATGCATGTTTTCACCGTCATCGCTAATGCGATACTTCTTTCACATTGTCCAGCTCCTGTACAGCTGGGAAGTGAAACCTGATCTTGTTAAGTTCCTCATGTGTCACATCAACGTATCACCTGATCACTTAGATTGTTTATCATAGCATCTAAAATGATACTCCAAGGAGGACCTGGTTACATCAGGTCTCCTACTTGTTGGAAGACAATGTGATCAAGTGTCAATGAGAATGAAAATGTGTTCTTATTACATGAAGAAGACATGCATGTGTTTTGTGTAGAATGTTTGCAATTCTACATTGTTTGAATGGTCGTCCTGTCTGATGTGTGATGTAACAGCAATGTGTGAGAGAGGTGGAGCCCTGAGCAAGGTTACATGGTGGTAGCAGCAGCAGCAGCAGCAGCAGCAGAAGCAGAAACTATGTCTGGGACAGGAAACATAACTCACCTGGATAGTCCCCTACCTTTGTCCAGCCAGTAATCACTGAGCAAATCTCCTAGAAACTCACTCAGGCAGACCGGACACACAAAGGGTTAATTTTTATGTTGCACTCAATTGAACACGCTTTGATGATCTTGGGTTGTCATGACTCTTGGCGTTTTGATTGTGGTAGTCCACACAATACCAGAATGCTAGGTGTGAGATTTTACGAGACTAAATGTGTACCCGTGCGGAAAAGAATTACAAAGAAAAGAGCCTATTATGAAGGTATTTGGGGCATCTTGTATATGTATCTACCTATCACCAACCACAGGATGCTTGCTTCACTTGGTTGGCTTGAGGTAGTTTCTGTTCTGCATATGATGTGCACCCACAGCGTTGAATATACACTGATTTGGTTGCATATCTGCATTATACATAACAGTACAAGCATACTCCAGACATACTGGAACGGGGTGTTTTTTGTTGTAGAGAAGGTCATTTTCAAGCAAAATGTTGTCATGAATAAATGAAGCGATGTTTAGAACAGTTACATGCAGTTGTGGTACTCGTGCAGACATTGGGAATAGGAATCTAGCCACATGAAGACCTTGTTGCTACAACTGCACACAGAGGCAGGCAAACCCTGAGTTATGCTTTGAAGCTGCTGGAGGCAAATGCAAGCCATCTGGGAACTCCTTAGATGTTGTCCTAGAGGTGAGGTGTTGGCTGTAGCTAATACACTGCTACTCTCCCACCCTATGTAGCAAGCTTCATGTTGGGGGTCTTCCATACCATCTCCCATATTCTCAGCAGCTGCTTTTTTACAGTTGGAGAAGGATTTGTCTACAATAGAAGGGTTTCTCATCCCTTGGCTTATACAGAAGATGCACTACCTACCCAATTAAATACATTTGTTACTACACCTCACCTCTCCTCTCCTTTCCCCTACAGTGTGGCTGCACCACCTTGCCCTTCCTTGGTGCAACTGGTAAAAGCTGACACTATTGGGCATGTCATCTGGAGTTCGTTACTCTAGACAATCATATGACTGTCATAGACCGTCTCATTCTACAATGGGGTAGTCATAACACTTAAACTACTTTATTCAACATGGTCCTGGCTGTACCTTGACACTGGAAAAACGTTGCTCATGCTCTCAGTTTTCAGTTGTTCCTAATCAGTTATTTGAGGGCAGTGAAATGTTTAATTGAATGTTATACTGCCCTACTGTCAATATTACAACTCACAGTTTGTTGAGTTCCTTCTCTGGTCGCAGTACCTGTCGTAACAATGAATGTGACAAAACTAAATAAAGTATTGTAGCAGTAGCCCTAGTCCCTGCAGTTGGCAGTGTGGCATGGGTCCAGCAATAGCCTTATGATGTTTATTAGATGAGTACCTTTTAGGGTTGAACAAAGGAAAATATACTTCCAGTGCTACATGCATGTACAATGTGTTTAATATTTTTAATGTCTCTTGCAGTTTGGAGCTCTAATGTCCAGTACTTTCCTAGTGTCAAATGGCAGTACTTCATCTCTGCTTCGGGTATCCACAATGAATACCCAGCAAATGGTTTCCGCTGGGCGGAGGATTGCCGCAATGTTCATGATACCAGACACAGGTATGTTGTGCGTTAAATGGAAGACTGCATGAGAGTTGTCCTGAAATGATTGTAAGGACAACTCTCCCCATGTTGTATTCACTCAGTGCTCTTGGGTGAGGTTTGTTATTTTGCTCATCTGGATGTGTAGCTGGGTACATTTTTTGTGTGTTCATGGCACTCCTCAACATATGCATCATATTAGCTTTGCTACACATTTTTGTTTGCATTAAACCAGTATTTTATTATGTCAGCTAAGTTTCATCTTAACACCAAACATGGGCAAAAAGGCAACATTTTTTGTCAACAATGCAATCAGATTTGAGTATTCTCCAGAGAAACTCACACTCATGAACTTCTGATTTGTGGGATTCATTAAAGGATTTTGAAAGATATGTCATTAACAAGTTCTGAACTAAGTGCCATACAATGACAAAAACAGCATTTGACCATAATCAGTCAGGTTACCTGACAAAGTACAGATTCTAGTACTTTTGGTTTGTGTTACCCTACAACAAGCTTAATTTGGGATCACTTCTCATGTCCGAAGCTGTTAGCACTCAATGTCTTTTAGAAAGTGGTCAAATGTAACACATTACATTTCGGATTACACTTTCTCAGTAAAGTACAGATTCTAGTCCATTATATGAAAAACACTTCTTACATATTATTCAGGTGAATATGTGGGTTTAATAGACTTCTATAAGACATCTTAAGTATCTTTGTATTTGTGTGATATTTTGATAAAAACATGCATTTCCATCACCGAGGTATGTATTGGAAGAGGGAGACACAAGAGTGATTGATAGTGATGGCAATGTTGGAGTGTGTTGGTGCCGTGAGATAACTGGGAGTGACATTCTGTGTAGGGAGGCAAGCTTCTCACCAGCAATTAGACCCTAGTTAATGTCACATCGGCACTGCACACAAATGAGATTTCTCACAAAGCCACTTTGATTTCTTTGACAAAAACATGTAACATCCTGTCCACATTTCTTTCTGTGAGGCTGATCGCAAGCCGCTGGTGGAGCTCTCTCTTTCACAAAGCAACTTGCTCCTTTCATCTTGTGACTCATAAACGATCACAACTCAAATTAGCCTGAGCTACTTGATAACAAGTTCTAATTATGTTCATTTCTGTAGCCAGTGCACAGTGGTATACACGACAGCATGAGAACTCTGTTTGTATGCTGAAGGTGACCTGGAAAAAACTTGACAATTATCTTTCTTTGATGTATGATACATAGCTGTAGGTATTGATTGTCCAGTTTAATGTATGTGCCTGGATTCCAGATGAGATGTTAGATCTCTTCTGCTCCACACACTCCGTTTTCTGGTTTTCCATCAACACCAGATGACAACTGCCACATAGTCGGTGCACAATCACAAGGTCAAAATGTACATACCTTCTTCGCAGTATTTACAGCAGGTGTCCCGACATCACATCAGTCATTCTTGATTCAAAAGTGAATACTTCATGGTTTAGTGTGGAGTATCTTTGGTAGAACTTCTATAATAGTGTCAGCTATTGAGGTATCAGTCCTTGAGAAATATCTTTCACTACCACAAGACAAACATACTTCACACTGCAGTCTTCTGCCACATACAGTGGATCATACACACTACTGCTTTGTCCTCTGCCACATACAGTGGATCATACACACTACCATTACAGTCCTCTACCACATACAGTGGATCATACACTCTACTGCTACAGTCCTCTACCACATACAATGGATCATACACACTACTGCTTTGTCCTCTACCACATACAGTTGATCATACACACTACTGCTACAGTCCTCTACCACATACAGTGGATCATACACACTACCATTACAGTCCTCTACCACATACAGTGGATCATACACACTACCATTACAGTCCTCTACCACATACAGTGGATCATACACACTACTGCTTTGTCCTCTACCACATACAGTGGATCATACACACTACTGCTTTGTCCTCTGCCACATACAGTGGATCATACACACTACCATTACAGTCCTCTACCACATACAATGGATCATACACACTACTGCTTTGTCCTCTACCACATACAGTTGATCATACACACTACTGCTACAGTCCTCTACCACATACAGTGGATCATACACACTACCATTACAGTCCTCTACCACATACAGTGGATCATACACACTACTGCTACAGTCCTCTACCACATACAGTGGATCATACACACTACCATTACAGTCCTCTACCACATACAGTGGATCATACACACTACTGCTTTGTCCTCTACCACATACAGTTGATCATACACACTACTGCTTTGTCCTCTGCCACATACAGTGGATCATACACACTACCATTACAGTCCTCTACCACATACAGTGGATCATACACACTACTGCTTTGTCCTCTACCACACACAGTGGATCATACACACTACCATTACAGTCCTCTACCACATACAGTTGATCATACACACTACTGCTTTGTCCTCTGCCACATACAGTGGATCATACACACTACCATTACAGTCCTCTACCACATACAATGGATCATACACACTACTGCTTTGTCCTCTACCACATACAGTTGATCATACACACTACTGCTACAGTCCTCTACCACATACAGTGGATCATACACACTACCATTACAGTCCTCTACCACATACAGTGGATCATACACACTACTGCTACAGTCCTCTACCACATACAGTGGATCATACACACTACCATTACAGTCCTCTACCACATACAGTGGATCATACACACTACTGCTTTGTCCTCTACCACATACAGTTGATCATACACACTACTGCTTTGTCCTCTGCCACATACAGTGGATCATACACACTACCATTACAGTCCTCTACCACATACAGTGGATCATACACACTACTGCTTTGTCCTCTACCACACACAGTGGATCATATACACTACCATTACAGTTCTCTACTACATACATTTGATCACACACACTACTGCTACAGTCCTCTAACACTCTGCCACCCCGATCCTCACATTACATACTGTGGATCAGACACTGTGCCACCTCAATCCACACATTACATACAGTGGATCATACACTCTACTGCTACAGTCCTCTATCGCATACAGTGGATCATACACACTACCATTACAGTCCGCTACCACATATAGTGGATCATACACACTACCGCTACAGTCATCTACCACATACAGTAGATCATACACACTACTGCTACAGTCCTCTACCACACACAGTGGATCATATACACTACCATTACAGTTCTCTACCACATACAGTGGATCATACACACTACTGCTTTGTCCTCTACCACACACAGTGGATCATACACACTACCATTACAGTCCTCTACCACATACAGTGGATCATACACACTACTGCTTTGTCCTCTACCACACACAGTGGATCATATACACTACCATTACAGTTCTCTACTACATACATTTGATCACACACACTACTGCTACAGTCCTCTAACACTCTGCCACCACGATCCTCACTTTACATACAGTGGATCATACACTGTGCCACCTCTATCTGCACATTACATTCAGTGGATCATACACTGTGCCACCTCAATCTGCACATTACATACAGTGGATCATACACTGTGCCACCTCAATCCACACTTTACATTCAGTGGATCATACACTGTGCCACCTCAATCTGCACATTACATACAGTGGATCATACACTGTGCCACCTCAATTTTCACATTACATACAGTGGATCATACACTGTGCCACCTCAATCTTCACATTACATACAGTGGATGATACACTGTGCCAAGTCAATCTGCACATTAGATACAGTGGATCATACACTGTGCCACCTCAATCTTCACATTACGTACAGTGGATCATACACTGTGCCACCTCTATCCACACATTACATACAGTGGATGATACACTGTGCCACCTCAATCTTCACATTACATACAGTGGATCATACACTGTCCCACCTCAATCTTCACATTACATACAGTGGATCATACACTGTCCCACCTCAATCTTCATATTACATACAGTGGATGATACACTGTGCCAAGTCAATCTGCACATTAGATACAGTGGATCATACACTGTGCCACCTCAATCTTCACATTACATACAGTGGATCATACACTGTGCCACCTCTATCCACACATTACATACAGTGGATGATACACTGTCCCACCTCAATCTTCACATTACATACTGTGGATCATACACTGTGCCCCCTCAATCTTCACATTACATACAGTGGATCATACACTTTGCCACCTCAATCCACACATTACATACAGTGGATCATACACTGTGCCACCTCAATCTGCACATTACATACAGTGGATCATACACTGTGCCACCTCAATCCACACATTACATACAGTGGATGATACACTGTGCCACCTCAATCTGCACATTACATACAGTGGATCATACACTGTGCCACCTCAATCTTCACATTACATACATTGGATCATACACTGTGCCACCTCAATCCACACATTACATACAGTGGATGATACACTGTGCCACCTCAATCTTCACATTACATACAGTGGATCATACACTGTCCCACCTCAATCTTCACATTACATACATTGGATCATACACTGTGCCACCTCAATCCACACATTACATACAGTGGATGATACACTGTGCCACCTCAATCTTCACATTACATACAGTGGATCATACACTTTGCCACCTCAATCCACACATTACATACAGTGGATCATACACTGTGCCACCTCAATCTTCACATTACATACAGTGGATCATACACTGTGCCACCTCAATCCACACATTACATACAGTGGATCATACACTGTGCCACCTCAATCTTCACATTACGTACAGTGGATCATACACTGTGCCACCTCTATCCACACATTACATACAGTGGATGATACACTGTGCCACCTCAATCTGCACATTACATACAGTGGATCATACACTGTCCCACCTCAATCTTCACATTACATACAGTGGATCATACACTGTCCCACCTCAATCTTCACATTACATACAGTGGATCATACACTGTCCCACCTG